GGAGCGAGCAGGCCAGGAACCAGCAGCCACACATTTTACAGAAACAGAACATGGAAACTACAGGATATGCTTTTTGTACCGTATAATCCATGTATCAAAGAAGTAAAATCTGATCCTAGCATCTGCCACGCTCTAGCTTTGTTTTAAGCCAGAGGTAGGGAAAACATCAGAACGTGTCACTTTTAAGAAGCCCAGGACATGAAAATATGACTAGCTGGTACTAGTTTAGTACTGTACTTCACAAACTTCATGAAACTTGGAAATGGATGACGAGGGAGAACAAATTTTAAGAATGAATACTTTAAAGACACAAAAAAAAAGATCATATGCAAATACGATGAAATAATCTCAAACTTCTGAAGCGGACATTTAATTCTATAAATTTCATCTCCTGCAATAAATATTCATTTTTCACCTCCTATTTCTTAAGCACGAGCTGACATTATTCCCTGTTTATCAACAGCATCAACAATGATGCAACTGTCAGGGCAGAGACAGCTGTTAACTGTACTGTGTTGATGAGATGGTTGCCAATAGAGCTGACAGCCGTAGCTGTTAAGTGTTGCCTTTTTATTTTCCCATATTAAGGCAGGAACCTCCTTTTTTATGAAAAGAGAAGCCTTTTAAGATCAGAGTTCCTACTGACTTAAATGACAACAGGACAAAAGGTTGCTGAGAGAGCCATGCAACTTGGGGCCCAAATCAAGGATCCTCAGGCTCCCAAAATGTTGCTTCTTGAAATAAATGGCACAGCTTAAAAACTGAGTGCTGCTTCTGTACCCAGAGATCTCTGTCACCTGGGTACACAGGGAACACACACCATAGACGTAACCTCTCTCCATTGCTTGCAAAGAAACACAGAGCTAATTTCAATGACAAATTGTTTTCCTTAACAGACAGGAAAGAATTTTAAATAGCAATTCCTGTCAATTCACAGAAACAGGACTAATAAGATCTGTGGGATTTCACGGGGTAAGCAACGTGTTGCCTTGCAATACTGAGCTGTGAAATTATCCTCCTTAGTGTTTTGTTGGAAATAACAGGAAAACTGTTTCTTCAGAAAATAAGAAAACATTGTTACTTAATACAAGGGAATGTCTTCTTATTAAACTTTCCTTACATGCTGTTTGGAGGAGTGTAAAAATACACAGTTTCTAAAGAATAAAACCCATGTCTCAAAGCACAATGTGAGGAAACGAAGTGTTCCAAAGTTAATCCCTTGCTACCATTCAGCAGTAAAATACATAGACGCCTCTTTCTTTCCTCTGTTTTTCCTGTTCTTCATTTAACAGAATGTGGACAAGTATCAGATGAAGAACACAAGTTTCAAACATGTTTCATACCATAGCTGCATAAGCAGCAGGTTGCTGAATGTAACAAAATGTTTTCTTTTTATGGTGTAAACTGGCACAGCTCCATTAAATTCTATCAATTTATGCCAATGAAGACGTCTTACCCAATGAGGAATAACCTATTATTATAGTGTGAATCTATTTAATGGATGCAAACTCTCTTTTTAAGGTTTATAATGGCATTAAGGATTAACTTTAGACAGAAAGATGTAAAAAAAAAAAAGCTACAACTACAGCAAAATACAAACCACCATGCCTACTTATCAAAATGTTGACCCAGGAAAACAGCCTCATGAAAATTTATGGCAAAGTCAGCTTTAAAAGAAATTAGAGGGTTTAACAACCTTGCACTTACATTCACAAAAATACATAGCTTACACCTGCAGCCCAAGTCTGTGTCTGCATTTGTGAGTGGTTAATGAATGACATGTATAACATTAACAGTTAGACATCTCACTACTTGCACCACAAATGAGGTAACAGTAAGGCTCTCACTGTCAAATCTGTTTCTCCCTTTCCTCTGTAAAAAAAACACCTTCTCCTAATAGTTACAATGGCTGTCATACTACACACTTAACCAAGAGTTATCAGTTAACTTCTCCCCTCCAACAAATGTTTCCACGATTCAGAATAATAGAAAGGTCAGTTAACGTAGATTCACTGAAGGAGCCTGTGGATGGCAAAGGAACAGATCTTACAGACTGTGAAACCAAAACACTACAGAAAATCTCCTGGACTTCAGTGAAATTCAGATGCAGATATGAACATTGACAACAACCCTTTCTCTATAATACACCAAAATAACCCCTGAACCCTGGATATCAGCCTGAATTCTGCAGCTCGTGTCCATACGTTTGAATTGCTGAACTGAAAATAATTGAAGGGTCTGGGAACACAACCGGACACATGAAAGTATCATGTCAGCTAATAAAAAGTCATCAGAGAGGTATCTGGGGGGAGAAGGGAGAATATGTATAAAGGTCAGTTTTAATAAATTCTCTGTGTTCTCACTACAGTGAATGGAGCAAAAGAGATGCTCCAGCAAACAATTCAGAGGTTAACTGACTCTGCTTTGAATCATCTGCTAGAGCATCTCTCTCTCTCAGCTAGAATGAGCCTGAAGATATTTTTATTAAAAGATCAAGATGAGCATTTCTGCAGAATGTGTTACCTGTCCACTGGTGTTAAAATCAGAATTTGTTCAAGTTTTATATATAATTTCAAAATGTAACCCTGTATGAAGATCTCTGCAGGACTTTACACTACCAGCTGCCCTCTTAATTGAAAGTCTCCCTTATTGCAGATGCTGAAAGAAAAATAAAGTGGAAAGGTAGAAATTTTCCACTTTCAAAGAAGGTGGAAAACTGGAATAAAAAACAAGTTATTTTTTAAAGCCAGAAATCCTCCTCATGTTTCAAACTATGGGGATTGGCATACTGCTTCTCTTTTGTTTTGCTTTTTATTTTAGGATGATACTAGCACAGAAGAAAGAATTTATGTCAGTGTCATGTTAATGAAGTAAACCTGACTTTAGAAAGGTAGTCCAAAAACTGAAATTGCTCAGTGGCACATTTTGAGTAATTAAAAAAATTGTGGCATTTGGTGACACAGATTTCTGCCAAGTCACTACTCACATTGAAAAACACCAACCGGGACAGAAACAATTACACTAGAGTAAGACTGCTTATCAAAGTGTTATGTGTGAACTATAAAATAGAACATGCAGCTGTAATAAAGGGCTTTCAATCCATCTTGATGATAGGGGTAGAAAGGCAGAGGGACAGGGAATTTTACAAGTGGGTTAAATAAAAACATTGTTTCTTTAATTACGTAGTGCTTCCCCCACTCTAGTGAACATGCGGCATATAAAGTGTCAAAGTGATAGCACAGTTCTAGTTGGTTGGGTTTTCCCTGAAACATGAATCTGCGGTACACAGATTTATCCAGTGTACAACTGCGTGGAATACAAACATTCTGTTCCTTTCCCACAAGTGGTGTAATTTATCCCAGGCCCCATTATCCTAACAGTGGCACTCTGAACTGTGCTTGAACTCCCAGCGGTGACTGCTCTCAACAACTTTCAGCAAATTCAATTTTAATCAAGGAAAAAACCCCCAAAAAACCAATCCCAAAAAAACCCATGAAGAGGAAGAGGAAAGCAAGTAATGGAAGACTCACTGCTTTTAAAATGCTGACGGCTTCTTTACTGAGCCAGACTGGATACAAGACATCATCGTGAAGGATGGATTCAAAGAGATCATCTTCATTGTCAGCTTCAAAGGGGGGTTGCCCAGCCATCATTTCGTACATGAGAACACCCAGGGCCCACCAGTCTACTGACGGGCCGTATTCTAACTCCTGGAGGATCTAGTATAGAAAAAGAGATTGGATTGAATAGACAAGTTAGACAACACTCTCGGCTGCACATTTGCTGTTTCAACATGATACACCCCTTCTTTGCCCCAGTGCCTGAGTAGGACTAAATCCCACACTGATTTCGGTAACAGCAGGCATGGTTTCTTACCCATGCAATTTGCACTAAAACAGCTAAGTGTCAATGCGTAGTTGTTCTCAGAAGTACTGACTGTGTTTATCAGTCCCCTGAGTAAAAGAGTATGCTTGTGAGCAGAAGAGCTGCATATCCTTCCAAACTGTTTAAAGCAGGTCACGCTATAGGGGAAAACAGATCACATATACAAAACAGATTGGTGGAAAATGTGAAACATTTCCTTGTCTCTATCTTGAACAAAACAAACTGAACCAGCTTGTAATGCTGCAATCATCTGAGAGATTTGTTCTAGTCCTTTAGGTAGGGCTGAAGGAAGCCAAAAGCATTTTTGTTCAAGTTCTTTTTACAGCATTAAAACGCTGTACAATGCATGGCTATAGGACTCACTTTAATTGTCTCTGCTTTCAGAAAAACTGGCTACAACTTTTCACGTGGCACAAGTTCAACCTTGTAGCAAATATCTTTAGTGGGGAGTAGTAGGTTAGCATGATGGAGTTTTATTGTACTGCACCTGGTGTCACAGACTAGTGTTGTACAAGGAACAAGTTTAATTCTTGGCTCCTCTCCACTGAAAAGAAGCTTGTAGTTTGGCTGCAATGTTTCAGCATGACAGGGGACTGGGGAAAGTAGAGTGGGTGACTGTTTAAGGGGAAGCTGACTGCCTTAAAATGAGTTGGAATGGCAACAACTCCACCACCTCCTTAAACAACACTAGTGTTACAGTCAGAAGCCTTGTGGTGAACCGTGTGAGCTTAGTGCTGTATTTGGGAATCACAACCAATATAAAATCAAATTCAGTCTTAACATAAAACCAGAAATGAGTTTAACATTTGAATATAGAGGTCTGGTTCCCAACTGGATTCTTAGTTGAATGGATATTACATTTTAGAGACATTAATTGCAGAAAAAAGATACTCTTCAAAAGTGTACTTTTCAAGTGTTCTGGGCACTCTTTGGAATTCAGATATTGCTAAAGAAAAGGAAATTGAAACATACCACCATGACACAAGAGAAATAGAAGCAGGAGATAAACTTCTGCAATTAAGATGACAAAACGAAAGCCTGAGTTACTGACTTCAGTGGGTTCATGTAAAAGTTCCTGGGATCTTATTGCTTCGTTTTCCGTAATAATTTTCAAAGAATTTGCCAAAGGACTCAATTAGCATACTGTATCAGAAAAGAATTAATAAAAACCCAAAACCATCAACTGGCATTTATTTTCTTTTAACACCAGAATACTTTTCAAACTCCCTAAAACACATATTAATGTAAGACCAGTTGTTGTCCAGGTACCCAGCCTCCTGAGCTGGAAGACAGGGACGAGGAGCAGAATGAAGCCCCGCATAATCCAAAGGGAAATGGTTAGTGACCTGCTACACCACTTAGACACGCACGTCTACGGGGCCGGATGGGATCCACCCAAGGGTACTGAGGGAGCTGGCGGAAGTGGTCACCAAGCCACTTTCAATCCTTTATCAGCAGTCCTGGCTAACTGGGGAGGTCCCAGTTGACTGGAAGTTAGCAAATGTGACGCCCATTTACAAGAAGGGCCAGAAGGAGGATCCGGGGAACTACAGGCCTGTCAGTCTGACCTCGGTGCCAGGGAAGGTTATGGAGCAGATCATCTTGAGTGCCATCATGCGGCACATACAGGACAACCAGGGGATCAGGCCCAGTCAGCACAGGTTCATGAGAGGCAGGTCCTGCTTGACTAACCTGATCTCCTTCTATGACAAGGTGACCCGCTTAGTGGATGAAGGAAAGGCTGTGGATGTGGTCTACCTGGACTTTAATAAAGCCTTTGACACCATTTCCCACAGCATTCTCCTGGAGAAACTGGCTGCTCATGGCTTGGACAGGTGTACTCTTCTCTGGGTAAAAATCTGACTGGATGCCCAGGCCCAAAGAGTTGTGGTGAATGGAATTAAATCCAGTTGGCGGCCGGTCACAAGTGGTCTTCCCCAGGGCTCAGTATTGGGGCCAGTTCTGTTTAATATCTTTATCA